AGTTAAGTATTACATGATTAAGCATTATACAACTTATTCGAAATAACCTGTTGTTTTCAAAGCATTGAGAAATTTACTCCACAAATCATCCTTATTTGATTTTCTCCAAATAAACTTTAATAAATACTATCTTTATTTCTATTTTTGGATGAAATTCGCAATTTTATACTATTCCATAACCTCTTGATAGTATTTGTGTAAATTTTGGTATCTGGATCAACAAAATTTCATGAATGATTGACAGTACGATGTGCTAAATCCAACATATCCTCAATCCCTCATAACTTTTCTATAAATCAGTATGTACAGTAGATCCTGGAGCAATATTTCTTGAAATTACTTCAAGTAATATTGTTGCAGATCTATCAGACACGGTTTTAACGAAACATCTTTTTGTCTCTGTTCTTTCGATACCTTCTATAACCCATACACCCTCAACTCTATGACCATGATGGTATTTTCTTTTACTGAATTTTGATTCATTAATCCCAACAACTATATTCTGTTCTCCAATCGTGGTCATAGTTTCTTCTAATGTATTAATTACTAATTCTCTGAAAAATTTTATATAATTAGTAATAGTATTGGGTGAGTAGCCCATTATTTGAATAATAGAGATATAGGTTGCTTTACAGAGCTACAAATAACCGATCAACATTGCATCTGAATATTTAAGATGATTTTTTGTAAAAAAAGAGTCTTTAAAAATTGGAATCAATTTTCGACATGATCGATTTTTGTATCTGTAAAGCAGAGCTTTCTGGAATATTGTAGAATTACAATATATACAAACTTCTTATTTGTATAAAATATCATTGCTGAACAAAAATTTTATGTATTTTTGTTTATCAAATAATATATTTTTTAATAACTTTAATGTAGAAACAGGAGTTACAGATAAAGACATACTTAAAATCATTATACTAATATTACTCAAACAATTTTATTTAGATAAAATTCTATATTTATATAAAAAAATGATTTTAATCTACATAGAATAATATATAAAAATTGACTATTTTAAACTAATTTACAAACTATAGATTAAAATATAAACTTTAAGATATTCATATATTAGTTTAAATTAGTTAATTTTTGTATACTATATTTTTGTAATAATTGTATTATTTACAAAACTGGCAGAAATAAAAATGTTAATAAAACATTTAATACTAAAATTGCTATTTTAATAGTTCAAATTGAGAAGGACGAATATAAGGCGTTCATTTATTGCACAAAAAAATAGCAAAGATGGAAAAATTAGTAAAATATTTGATATTAAAAATTGCCAACTTAATAGATTAGAGTTGAAAAAATGATATAAGAGATTTACTTATTCTTGGAAAAAAAACTGGTTAAGTAAAAAATGCAAGTGGAATATATAATACTAGAAATTGCTATCTCAATAGCTCAATAGAATAGAAGTCAAAAAGGACGATATAAACAACTTATTTACTCTCAAAAAGAAAAAACTTTCGGTAGAAATAGCAAATGCTACTGGAACATACAATACTAGAATTGTTATTTTAGATAAAAATGATGATATAAAACTATTCATTCACTCTCAAAAAAAATCTGGTAATGATAGAAAACACTGTGAAACATAATATATTAGATATTACAAAGGTGTGGCGACTTAGTGAAGTGGTCAAGTTGTCATCTCCCAAGCGGCAAGTCAAGAGTTTGAACCCCACCAGTGATGAAAATTCAAATTTCTATTTGTGTTATGGTAACTGTCCTCTTAAGGTTGGGATATTTGATCCTGTAACTATAGTCGGACCAAATAGTGGCTAGAATAATCACTACCCAAAATTGGGTTTGTGCCTAATCCGAGATAGCTTATTTCGGAAGGTTTACTAGGAACCAAGTCAAGATTTGGAAGATCACACGGCATTTGTATAACAGAAGAGTTGTACAAAAGAATGCAAGCTAGTATAGACAGTGCAAACCTATGATAAGTCCTTGTGTCTGTGTAAATCTATAGAACCAATGAAGATAGAAACCCACTTGGCAAGACTCGAATAAGGAGGTAGCAGAAGCCTAGTATGGTTTACAGACCAGAGTCCTGGTTGTGGTGGCTATGTGAACCTTATAAGGGTATTAAAAACTAAATTAGCCATTAATAGTGGGAAAAATAGAAAGCTCTAGTAGGTTTACCCCAAGAATAAAATTGTTCTAAGGTAGTTATGAATATTAGTTTGAGGTTATGTATATAGAAATATATGTATAGTTGATGTGGGACTGATACTGTAAAAGTAACCTGTTAAATATAAATAAAATACTAACCAAAGGGGTCACCTTAAGACCAAAAAAAAAATATATTAGACATTACTATCTCAATAGAATTGGGACAATATAAAATATTTATTTATTTTAAAAAACCTCTATAAATATAGAAAATGCTAGTAGAACATAAAATACTAGAAAGTACTGTCTCAATAGAATTGGAGTTGAAATAGACAACATTCATTTTAAAAAAAAAACATCAGTGAATATGAGAAACTCCAGTGAAACATATAATGCTAGAATTGCTATTTCACTGAAATTGGAGTTGCAAAGGATGTTATAAAGGATTCTTTCACTAAAAAAAAATATCTGGCAGTGATAGAAAACTTAATAGAACATATAATGCTATCTCAATAGAATTAAGTTGAAAAGGACAATATAAAGCATTTATTCATTTTTAAAAAAATTCTGGTAGAGACTGGAAACTCTAGTAGAACATATAAGCTAGAAATCGCTATCTCAATAGATTTGGAGTTAAAAAGAATGACATAAAGCATTCTTTTACTTTCAAAAAAAACCTCAGTAGAGGCAGTAACATATAAGCTGGAAATTGCTATCTTAATGAAATTGGAGTTGAAAAGGACGATATAGACATTCATTCATTTTTAAAAAAAAAAAATGGTAGAGATGGGAAGTTCTAGTAGAACACGTAATGCTGGGCATAGCTATCTCAATGAAATTGGAGTTAAAAAGGACATTATAAAGCACTCAATAGAATTGGAGTTAAAAAAAACATTATAAAATATTTATTCACTCAAAAAAAAAATAAAAAAAACTGATAGAGATTAGAAACTCTAGTAGAACACATAATGCCAGAAATTGCTATCTCAATGGAATTGGAATTGAAAAGGACGATATAAGATATTCATTTATTCTCAAAAAAAAATATAGTAGAGATTAGAAACTCTAGTAGTACATATAATATATATAATATTAGAAATTGCTATCTCAATAGAATTAGACAATATAAAACCCAGTAGAAATGAGAAACTCTAGTAGAGCACATAATGTTAGAAATTGCTATCTCAATAGAATTGGAGTTGAAAAGAATGATATAAGACACCATTCACTCTAAAAAAAAAAAAAAAAAATAGTAGAGATGGGAAACTCTAGTGGAACATGTGATGTTAAAAATTGCTATCTCAACAGAATTGGAGTTGAAATTTTACTCTCAAAAAAAAAAAGATCGATAAATATAAGAAACTCTAGTGGAACACATAATGCTTGAAATTGTTATCTCAATAGAGTTGGAGTTAAAAAGAATGATGATTCATTCACTTACAAAAAAAAAAAATAGTAGAGATAGAAAGCTCTAGTAGCATACATAATGCTGGAAATAGCTATCTCAATGAAATTAGAGTTGAAAAAGACAATATAAAGCATTTATTCATTTAAAAAAAAAAGCTAAGTAGATAAGGGAAACGCTGATGGAACATATAATGCTAGAAACTGCAAAAAGCGATATAAACATTTATTCAAAAATTTGGTATATCACTACCTCAATAGAATTGGAGTTGAAAAGGATGATATACAAGATTCTTAAGAAAATCTATCTTACTTTCAAAAAGAGCTATCAGATAGTAATTTGGATCTGATACTTAATCTTGATTAGTTCTAACTCTATAATAGCTTGTATTATAGTATCAGAACAATCTATAACATCATTTGTAACTTTTTACATAATGAGTAATTTAAGCTAATATATTGATATTAGTATTAATATCTGAATCTAATAAACCTAAATTATACCAATAAACTATTATTTAGTATCTTTAATAGATCAATTAGTTGACTTGTAGAATGATAAAATTTTATATTATCTTATTATCTTAAAATATTACCCTGGATATAGATTAAATTTTGGTCTGAATTAAACTTAATTTAGGCAAATTTTTAACCTACACCCTAGAGCATTATTTTTAGATAATGTAGTAAATTTATATATTTATTAAAAATTTATTATTATTAAAAATATAATAAATTTAGGTATTGAATTGGCGAGTATATATGAAAGCTCTACTAGCAAATTTATTAAAACTGCAATTATTTGTTGTTTTTGTGATATCTCTACTGCAAGAAAATTATATAAACATATATTGGCCCAGATTGCTTATTATTAGTATCTAAAGCAGGCCAATTTTGATAAAAAGAATCAATCTAACTTTGGTAAATTTGCTGATATGAGTCAATGGTTTATTAAAAGAGATATTGATGAAATTCAATAAAATACTATCATGTAGAAGGATTGTATCACAAATGATGCTAGAAGAAAGCACATATCTAAAACCTTTGTTTAATAGTCTAAAATTTATCATCTTCTATATTTTAATTTTGTTCAGTTTCTTGTAATAAATCTTATATATTGTCTATTTTTAGATATTGCTAAATAGATTGTTAAATTATAAATTGATGAAGAGATTCTAATACCACATGATCTTGCTCTAATAGAAAGGCAGACTAAAAAATAATAGTTTCAACAGATATTAGCAGAATTCTATACAAAATTGTATTAGGTAAAAGCTTTTCTAGATTTATTGCAGATTAATAAAAAACTTTTATTCTGATGTATATAATATTAATTACTTGGAACTTACTATGTGAAGATGATTGATAAATTTTTATTTATTTTGTTCATGCATATTTTATTCTAGTATACTGAATTGTGTTTAAGAATAGTTTAGAAGAGGCTTATTCTTTATTTTATATCAACTCAATCACCCAGAGTTCAATACATCAACCTTTAAAATTAGACTCCAACAACTACAAAATGCAGCAGCAACTCCACAATCTATTTTTCAACACTATACTATATAATAGTACAACTCAAGCATCTCTCACCCTCAGCTCAGATACTCAGAAGCCTACAAAATATATAGATCTTACTAGAAAATCAAAACAACAACTGGCCTATACCACTAACAAAACCAGAACTCCTAATCAACATAGTACTATAGCATCTTAAAACTCTACACCTAGTAAAAAAGAGCCTTCATATCCGCAGATTTTTGGAATGATAGTCATTTTTGACGTACTCTAAAAATGATCTACAGGGTGCGTCAGCTAGTTGACATCCAATAAAATTTACGAAGTACTGTAATACAAGTCACTCTTGCTTTAATGAACCAGTTTATATAAAAAGCTCTCGATATAGTGAATAGTATAACAGAAGTTCGATTTATGCACTTAGTAAAAAAAAAATCATGTCACATTAAAAAAAACATCAATTTTACAAAACTTAGTCATAACGTATTTTAACTGCTTTGCATTTGAATAGTGAAGACCCATCTCGAATGATCTCTAAAGCATAAGACTTTTATAATAGACAAATTTTTATAACAAATGTTAACGTGCATACATAATTATATTTAAATTTCATTTTTAGAAGTATTTAACAGCAATTTCGAAAGCAAAGAGCATTATTAGTTTTTATTTGCAAAATAAGACATTTATAGCTATGGTCTATTTGCATTGCCAGCTTAGATGAAATTTTATACGTTTCTTCAACCTCCTCAAAACTACATATCAAAAACAGAAATACATCATCATCAAAAAATTGTCCAATTTCTACAAAACTTCACTGAGACGTTCTGTGGTCGTAACGTAGACGTTTTGTCAAAACACATCTCACGCATCTCATGATCTGTATGACTTTCATAAGACATGAGTATGGATGTATAAATGTATATACAAATATACTACGGGTGAATATTCAGTTATATGACTGCTAAACAACTAATACAATATTTGTATTTTTTTTTATTTTATTTATCTATTATGCTTATAAAACTCTTATTTATAAACATTTAGGTTGTTTGTAATAGTTATAAGAGAAGTTTGGTATGGTACGTAAATTTGTTTTTTTTCTTTAACAAAAAAGAATTTAAAAGTTAGTGAAGATACTGCTAGGCTACAAACAGAATGGAGTGCTCTAGGTATAATGGTTCAATTAACTATTCAGAACTGTTTTAGTTATCAAGTGCTTTCCTTGGTTATTGAAGTTATAAAAGGACCGACTAATTAATTGTATTGTATAACTGTAAGCAATAAATACACAGTACGTATTTGTATGATGCATTTATCTTTATTTTTCATAAAGTTGAATGAAGACTTGAGCAAATTAATCGATGGTTTCAATAATTACTAATTGTCAACAATTGGCAGATACTGTATAAACGACCCAGATGGATCAACAGGCTTTGGTATTGTTATGAATATGAAATTGGAATTGAAAAGGTGAAAACAAGGCATTCATATATTGGCAGACATGAATGATTTTAACAGAATGTTTATTGTTATTATTTAAGCATTGGAATCGAAATCGATAAGCATAAAACGTCTACATATTATCTGAAGTCTGTTGTGGCAGGTAATTCTATGACCAAGAGACCATAGGAAGGAAAAAAAAATCAAACCTTCTGGTAGTATTACGCTCGATGAGGTAATCATCTTTCGCAAAAACACATACATACGATCTTTGGGTGTAACACTTTCTGAAAAGTTGAATGGCATATTTCGAATGCTGCAATTCAACACTATCATATGATTTCGCAGACATGCATGTCCGTGAAGTCATATGATAGTGTTGAATAGCATTCGAACTATGCCACTCAACTAGAGATGGGAAAAATGCATATTTTATAATAACATGCACATGAATGCGCATTAATGCGCACGAAATGTTTTATGCGCATGATATCGCATGATAAAAAAAAGGCAAAAATGATCGAGAGGAGAGAAATCTTGATGGGATAAAATGCGCATGAAACCCATCTCTACACTCAACTTGTTGAATTTAGTGTAAACATAGGAACAATTTATAAGCAAAAATCAAAGTGAAAAACATGTATATATATTTAATAAAATTCATCATCTTTTTATATATAAAAAGCCAGCCCAATCACTTTTATAATAGCATTCGCCTAATGCATAGAGCTCATCTTAACAGATTTTTAAATAGAAACAAAAAATAAATGATCATTTCGATTCTAGTTTCATTTCAATAACGAGCTTCAACTTGAAATGCTCCGAATTTTAACAACGCGAGTATGATTTACACTTATTCCTTTCAACACCGAATCCAAGATAAAAATAAATAAATGCCTTGCATGTATCCTTTTTCTCATCAATTATACAGCCTTATGTAATAGCAAAAACCAAGAATCACATTATTTTTTGGAATATACATACTAATGAATAAATATCAGTATCATACCATTTGTCACTCTTTGAATTTTTTAATATTGCAGTTCATAATTTTCTGCTGCTGAAAGTGCCTTGTTACTGTAACCAATTTCACAGTAATCGTTTTTAAGTTTAGATAAAGGTGCCAAGTCGAAAGAGATTGAATTTCTTTCCATTCCCACTATTAAAAAAAAAAAATTAACGCACAATATTAAATCGGACTAATACACTTTAGGAATGCGGCAGTACCTGAACTAGTAAATCTTCTGCATCTGTTCTGGTTAGATAAATGCAAATATAAATAGGTTATTAATTAACTTAGCCGTATAACTCAAATTTAATATAGCACTATTACACAAGTAGAATCCTGACATAAATTAATCATTCGACAAGAAAATTTCTGCATTATGCATTGACGCTTACATTTTTCAGTGTAAATATTGAACTACAATGAGCTTGACAATTCATTATATATGATATTAAAATTTTACTATCGATAAAGAGACGAGGAGACCAATGTGAACGTTAATGATAATGAGCTCAATAATATTCGACCGCATTCTGAACGTGTTAGCGAAGCAAATGAATAAATATCATCTTAATTAGAATTATGACAAATATTAAAATAACATTTAATAAGACATACTATAACTTTTCTGGTTGATAATATTC